GAGCCTCCGCCCCGCTGCCCGCCCCCCAACCCGTCTGCCTCCCTCCTGACCCCCTGACGTTGCCCCCCACCCCCCCAGGCCAGCTGTTCTGGTGGGGGCGGGAGAAAGGGGGGGCCCGTAAAGCCCTCATCTTTGTGGAGGGCGGCCCAGTGGGCGGCCCCCTGCCTCCCTCCGTCTCCGCCCCCACCCGGGTCTTTGCATCCTTCCCGGGAAACACAACAAAGCCACAGAGGCCCTTTCTTCAGCCCCACTGAGCTGGCTTCTCTGTCTCCCTGCTGAAGGCAGAGCCCGGCCCCTGCCCAGCAGGCGGCCCGGCCAGGTGTCTGAAAGGGCCAGCTTCTCCTCAACAGCGCAGGGCGGGGGCGGCGGGCAGACAGGTGGCTGAGACTCGAAGCTTTGAGAGAATCCGTGGTCACCGAGAGCAGGGCAGCTCCGCTGGAGGCAGGGTCATGCCCTGGGACAGCTAGGTGCCCGCCGGGCGCTGGATGCCCGTGTCCTTGCTGCCAAGACGTTTCCGAGGCTGCTTCTGTCCACAGGCCTGTTGGTCCTGTCCACACGCCTGTTGGTCCTGTCACTTGCTCATTCACCATTTTCCTTGGGGCCCTGGGCTGGGTGCTGGGCCTAAGAACCGCAAGCTGTCCTGCTTCCTCGCAGGGTTCACAGGCTGGGCCTGGAGACCGGTAAGAAGCCCATCCTTATTTGGGCTGATTGGCTCACCCTCCCTGCAACTTCTGAGGCACAGGACAGGCAGGTTGGTGAGGGTGCAGACGGCCCCCAAACACCACGAAGCATTCGGCAGCCTGGGAGAGCTGACTTTGGGGTGTGTATTGTTCAGCATTTCTGGGACATGCACTTCTGTGATTCTCCTGGGAGGGGCTCAGACCAAGTTCCACGGGGTTCACTGTGGGTATGTGCACGTTCGGAGGGTCAGTCACTAACGTTTGGCCAGTCAGAGCATCACGTGATCCTGACTCCTGGTGGGTTCAGGGATGAATGTGCTTCCAAGTTGGTCCACCGAGGCCGAGCCTGGCACTCCAGCAGGCTAGTTCAGACAAGAGATGATCTTTCTACTGGACTTGGGGTTTTGTAGGTGTCAGTGCCCCAGAGGCTGCCAGGGGAGAGACCTAGCCTGGGAGTGAAGCCCAGAGCTTCTGTATGCTGGTGACATTGTTTGAGTACCCGGATCCAGCCATGCCTGAAGCTGCCCTCACCTAAACTTTAGTAAAAGCCAGCTTCTCTTTTAAGCGAGTCAGACCTTCTGGCACTCAGTAAGAGACCTGGCTGATGGAAAGAGGCAACAGAGGAGGGAAAGCTGGAGTGTTTGGGTGTAGCTTGGGAGAAGTGTTTGGATGGCTAAACGACATAGTGTAAATCGTGGTGTTAAATATTCCGTGTGAAACTGCATCACTGTATTGTAATCCGTGTCTTCCCCTCGGGATCCTCAGTCGTGCTTGCTCTGATCACACGCGTGCCGGGAGGAGGAACTGTCCTGCGGGATTCGGAGGAGCCGAGTCTGCTGTCTGGGACGAGGCGGTGTGAGGCCGAGGAGGCCAGCTGTGGGCGGCTGGAGCCCGGAGGTGGATGGGGCCGTGCTGGGCCCAGCAGTCCGCTGCAGGCCGGCTGGTGGGGGAGCTCGGAGGACTGCGCTGACGTGCAGAATACTCGGATGAGATCCAGGAGCCTCACGGCTCTGCAAGCAGCGGTCGCTCCCTTGGGCCCCTCTGCACAAAGCGCGTGTCTGTCCCTGCAGGCAAGTTCATGGCCTGCTCTGCTCAGGCCCAGGGGCCCTCAGAGGGCAGTGGGCATGCCTGTGTCTGTCCTGTGTGCCCGAGGTATCTGCACCGGGCTTTGTGCATGGAAGGTGGTTAGGAAATGTGGGGCACATACGTGAGTGTCTCCAATGGCTTAAATGTCTCCTGTCTGTTCTCCCAGGTTCCCAATCAAGACGGTGGATGGAGGTGCTATGGGAAGCGCCCTTTCTATCTTCAAACACACAGAAGTGCTGGAGAAAACCGTACCATTTAGGAGAGTGCAGAGCCAAGGTCACAGATTAGAAGGGAAGACGCCCGGCTTGTGTGGGGAGCGGGAGGCGGAGCAGAAACGCCCCGAGGGGTCAGGACTGGGGTCTGAGGCCCAGTTGGCTCAGGGGCAGGGGACCTGGCTGCTGCGGGAGGACAAGGAGGCCCCTGCAGGAGGGGGCGTCCAGGGGCCGCCTCATCCACGGGCGGAGGCGGGAAAACCCCACCGGCTGCTTCGGGATGCTGCCTAAGGTGTGGGGCCGCTTCTCCCCAGCTGTGTAGTCAGAAACCCGGAGCTAAGAAACGCATCTAGAAAGCAGCCCAGATTCAGGCCCTGGTGGGGGCAGAGAGGGAACACCCCCATGACTGGGGGGCCCTCCAGGGTCCTGACTTCTGTCAAAGCTGGGCTCAGGGTGGCCATCCCCGTCATGACGGGAGAACTGGACGGGCTGGGGTTACAGCAACGCCAGAGAGATGAGAGGAGGCAGCTTCCCCGAGAGACGAGAGACGGGGCGAGGCCTGGGGAGGGAGGAGAAGGCCGGCTTTGAGAAGGAACTCACAGCAGTTCCTCCTGAGCAGCGAGCGGCTGAGAGGGCACCTGAGGAGGGGCTCCGCCGGGGAAGGGGTCTGGTCTGGAGCCGGGACGCTCAGCTGCGTCCCGGGTCCCTCGAGCTTGGTTTTGTGACCAGCGTTCTTGGCTGTTCCGTCCCCTTCCCCTTCCTTGCTTCAAGGATAGAGAGTGTTGGGGGCAAGTCAGCCTGCAAACCTGCAAGCTCTGACTACAGAAAACAGACAGAGGAGGTCTGCTCCCGGGGCTGGGCCGGGAAATAAGTGACAGCCATCACCGAAGCACCGTAGGAAGGCCACTGTCTGGCCCCTGGTTTCCTCATCCCCTGGGCATGGCCTTTGGAGCCTCTGCAGCATCTGGTCCCTTTTCCCTCCTAAGGTGGTGGTTTCGTTGCTAAGTCGTGTCCAACTCTTGTGATCCCACAGACTGTAGCCCACCAGGCTCCTCTGTCCACATGTTTCTCCAGGCAAGAATACTGGAGTGGGTTGCCATTTCCTTCTCCAGAGGATCTTTCCGACCCAGGGATCGAGCCAGGAGCCCCAGTTTTGTTTGGGATATCAGCATCACCTGACTCTCTTGCAGGTAGAGGCAGCCACATGATGCAGTCCTGGCCAAGGTGAAGGAGGTGCAAGTTCCAGAGGGAGAAGCAGGGGTGGGGGGGCCTCTCCCTGAATATCAAGGCAAAGCTAACTATCAGAAAATCCTTCTTGCTCTGAATGTCCCTGGTCCATCTTATGCCTGGATAGCAGACATGAGGTCTGGAGCTGCAGCAGCCATCTTGTAACCATGAGCCAACAATAGAGGTGAAGTGGAAAGAAAGAAACAACACAGGCTGTGGGGCCAGACAGACCTTCCTTTTCCACTTTCTGGCTATATGGCCCTGGTATGTCACTTAACTTCTCAGAGCCTCACTTCCCACAGTCTGTAAGATGGGGCAGAACCTCTCCCTTGCACAGTCTTGAGATGATTAAATTATGCACTGGCTGTGGATCCAAGTTTTGTCCTGTAAAGAGCTACATTGTTTGGAGTTACTTTCACAATCATGCTGTAAAGGACAGTTACTTTAGGGCAAAAGAAAGAAGAGACCCTTTATTTCTCTTCTTGGAGAAAGATCCAAGGCTGGACACGGGCCTTAAGCCCTGCTCCCCAGCCGATCAGCTCTGCAAACAGGAAGTGACTGTCCAAACATTTGGAGCTGCAGGAGGCTAGCTCAGAGCAGGCCTCTTGCCTCCAGCATTGTGCTTTCTCGTGTCCCCACGGAGAGCACCTCGGAACTCAAGGAGAGATTTTGCCCGGTGAGGAACTAGGTTCAAAGCCACCCCCTCTGGCTGCCCCGCCCGCCAGTCTGGGCCAGACCAGCTTCCTTTCGGGCTGGAGGCGGACAGCAGCCCCTCCCTCCTGCCTTCCCCCCGCTGTCACAGCTGTAACACAACAGAGTGACTTTTTTTGCAGTCTGTTCCTGCGACCCCCCCCCCCCCGAACCTTTCCGTGGCTTCATGCTCTCCCGAGGGAAGGCTGGCGTCCTCACCGTGACCTTGGTTGGCCTGGTCCCTGCCTGCCTCACCCGCCGTCTGCCTCCAGCCACTCTTAGTTTCTGGCCAGAGCCCAGGTCCCTCCTGCCCCCGCGCTCTGCCTACACTGTTTCCGTTTTCTGGAGCACCCTCCCCTCCTCCCCTCCCTGGCCCATCTCGCAGGTAACACCCACCCCCCTCAGCACCCTCCTCCTGTGGCAGGTCACGGCGCAGGGCGAGAATCTCAGAACGTCGCCTTCACAGTGATCCCCCTGCAGCCTCCCCCAGCTGCTGCAGAGAGCCGGCGCTCAGCACATGTGGAAGGCACGCGCGGCGCCTTGGGATTTGAAACGGTGGGAGCTCTGTTCTCTGAGCACCTAAGTGATCCAGGCAGGCCTCACGGCATCTTCACAGCCACTCGGGTAGGCAGGAACCGCAGTCTCCATTCCACCCAAGAGGAAACAGGGACTCGGAAGGGGCCGGTGACTTTCCCAGGGTGTCACATCAGAGGTCCTGCTGGGATTTGAACCTTGGTCCCAAGCCCAGCGTCCTGCCCTGGTGGAGCGAGCACAAGGGGTCCGAGCCTGTCTGTTTCGTCACCTGGAGAAGGGGGACATCGTGGTACCTGCCTCCCAGGGCTGGTGGCTGGGAGGACTCTGAGTTAAGTCAGCTGAGTGCTCAGAGGCTGGTCCATTTTAGGTGCTCAGGAACTCTTAGCTGTTACCATCATTAGTATTGCACCGATCAGTGCAAAAACAGGCCCATGGATGGATGGATGGATGGATGGATGGATGAGTGGATCCATGAACACGTGAACAACAGGGAAGCATGAGAACGAGTGGGAAGGAGGAAAGCGCCGGAGAAGGGGAGGGGGTCCCCGACCCCAGTCCCCGCCCTGCTCACCTGTAGCGCCTCAGCTCGCCCTCCAGCCGCCGCAGCCCGCGCTGCAGGCCGGGCACCTGGCGCGCCAGCGCCTCGAGCTCGCGGACGCGCCCCAGGCTGCGGAGCACCGTCGCCCGGGCCTCCTCCGCGCGCCGCCGCACCTCGGCCTGGCCCCGGCGCAGCCGACCCGCGTCGGCCTCGGCCGCCGCCAGCGCGCCCCGCGCCTGCCGCAGCTCCCGCGCCGCCACCTCGGGCTCGCCGCGCGCCGCCTCCTGGGCGCCCGCCTGGCTCTTCCAGAGGCCGACCTGCCGGGACAGGGCGGCAGGGCGGGCGGTGAGCTCCTCGCGCGGGACCCAGACCCGGCCCCGAGCGCGCGAGCAAACCCTCCGTGTGAGCTCGGTCAGCCCACACCCTAACTCCGCTAAGATGGGAGCTCGCATCGTCCGGTGGCAATGGGTGCCGCCGGGTAATCGATGAGGGCCACCGAGGCCCAAAACTCGGGCTCTGTTCTTTGCGCGGTTCCAGTGAGTCCCCAGACTCTTCTCCGCCCACCTCCCGCCCTGGGGCGCCCCGCCTCCACCCCGCAGAGGTGGCCCTCTCTGCGCGGTCTCAGGCGCATCTTCCGGGCCCTCCCCTCCCCTAGCTGCCAGGCCGTGGCTCCGTAAGGGTGGCGTTTTCTTCTGCGGCGTCTGTTGCTGTGCCTTCAGGAGACTAAAATAGGCCTGGCACACAGTAGGTGTTCAGTCAAGACTTAGAGAACGAATGATCCTGGACGAACTGACTCCACATAAAAAGAGCACCTCCCCGCCCCACGCTTTGCCTCTGGGATGCCCATCGGCGCGCCCTTGCCTTGGCCACTAAAATCTGCGCCTCGACCCCTGTGCGCTTCGGGCCTCTCCCTACCCCTCGGGGCTGTGCCCGGGCCGCGTGGGGAGCAGGCAGCTCCCTCAGAGGCTGTTCTGGGCCCCGTCTGATCCCGCGCCTCTTGTCGTCCCCTTTGGCACAAGGCTGGTGCTCACAAGGCTGACTGAATTGCAGATGCCTGCCCTGGGTCCGTGCCTCTGTCGGCGCCTGGCCCCCGCAGCGCTGGGTGGCCTGTGCCTGCCCGATTGACAGTGTGACGCTACTGAGCACCGGGGACGCGAGGCCTGGCCCCGAGGCAGGCCCTGCAATGTCTGTTGAGTTGCTCTTAGACCCGGTTAGGCAGGGAGCTCCTTAAGGGCGGGACAGAGTCTTCCTCACACCTTATCTCCTAGGCCTGCCGGAAGCCTCTAGAGCCTCTGAGACCGTCCGGGTTTCCTGGAAGGGTCCGGGTGTGGATCAGAGGGCAAGAGGAGACGCGGTGCGGCTGAGGATGGTTTCCTCATTGGGACTGGGGTTTGGGGGTGGAATGGGGTTGGAGCGGCTGGGAGGCCAGTAGGCTCAAGCCAGGAGGGCTGCCCCCTGCTCGTCCCCTCCTGCCCAGGAGGGGCTCTCGGCCCGCCGCGGTCGCCGGCCCTCCAGCCCAGTCCTTACCCGCCACCCCCTTCCGCCCCGGCCGCGGGCGCACCTGCAGCGCCAGGCAGCGCGCGTCACTGCTCTGCAGCGCGGCCCGCAGGTCCTCCACCAGCTCGCGCAGGTTGCTGTTTTCCTCCTCCAGCCGCGCCAGGCGCTCGCCGTCCGGGCCGCCGTCGGGCCCGGCCGGGCGGGCAGCTCGGCGGCGGCGGCGGCGCGGGCGGCGCAGGCGGATCTGCGTCTCGATGTGCTCGCTCAGAGCGCCGCGGGGCAGACGGGGCCCGGCGCGGGTGCCGAAGTAGCCGCAGAGGCGCGCGTGGAACTGGCGGAAGGTGAGCTCGGGCGGCTCCTCGCGCAGCGCCAGGCGCGCCTCCTCCTCGGCATCCTCGTCCCCGTCGGCGGCCTCCTCAGCGGCCGCGTCCCCGGCGATCACGTCCCCAGAGTTCGTGTCTCCGGCGGCCGTATCCCCGGAGGCCTCCCTGGGGGCGGCAGCCCCCTCGACGCTCAGCCCCAGCACCGCGCAGAGCGCGCGGAAGTCAGCGCGGGGCAAGCGGCCGGCCCCTCGGCAGTCCAGGTGGTGGAAGACCTCCTGCAGATACTGGTCCAGGCCGGTGGCCAGCACCACGATCTCGTTCTCCACGCCGCGGTCCAGCCCGTAGTGGTGCGCCAGGGCGCTCAGGAGCCACTGCGTGCGCCGCGCGGGCCGCCGGTACGGGTCACTCGCCGCGCCTTCCATGCCGGCTGCCGCGCCTTCCATGCCGGCTTCCGCGCCCGGGCCGCTGGCTCCGGCGCGGCGGAGCGCCCCTCCTCCGCTCCCTCCGCCCACCACTTCCAGGGGCGGCCTCCGGCTTTCCCGAAAGGAGGGGCTTAGCGGAGCCGGCGGCGTCTAGCGGCGGCGCTGTGTTTACCCGGGTGGGCTTGGCGGGGGCTGGGGAAGGGGACCCGGCGGCCCCGAGGTCCCCGTGGGGCTGCCACGGCCTGGCCTCTCTCCGGATCTCGGGGCGTTCCTGGCGCCTCCTCTTTTCTTCCCACTCCGGGGTCTGTCCTCTTTCAACTCCCTCCTTGTGCAGAGTGTGCCCCAGGTGGGGGTGGGCGTGGGTGCAGGATGGAAGCTGGGGGGGCACTGGAGGGTGGCAGCCGGGTTCTCTTGCTGGGGGCGTGTCCCCACGCCCACGCGCCCCTCCACCCTTCTAGCTGGAAATCCAGGGGAGCCCGGCTAGCTCGCCTGGACCAGCATACCCCCGTAGGTGCAGGGAGTCCCCTCTCCTTCAAGACAGCTGCTGGGTCCCCAAACCGACTTCTAGCTCCACCAGGGCGGGGGCACGGCCCTCGCGTGGTAATGAGCCAGGAAAACCAACCTGGAGAATGAGGGGATGCCTTAGGGTGGTCCCGGTGGCTAGAAACCCATCTGAACCAGAGCCTTGCTCTCTAAGCTCTGGGTGTGTTGGGGTCGGGACGGGGTAGGAAAGCTGAGGTCTTCTTTCTTCCCAGCCCTTTGTGCCCAAGAATGGTGAGTTGGTCCTGTAACCGGAACCGTTGACCAATGAGCTGGGGGGTTAGCCAGTCAGGTAGCTGTCTGGCCAGACATTTTCTCTGATGCATTAGAACACCTTTCTGGAAGATAAAAGCAGCCTCCCAGGTAAAGTTAGGCTGCTTTTCCTTTTCTCTTTTCTTTTTTTGCGTATGCGAGGTGTAGACATGTCCTAGTCTGATAGCGGGAACTGTCTTCCAGCCTAAAGGGAGCAAGAAGCAGATTTCTTCAGCTGTCCGTGGCTAAGATGGGCAGCATCTGGCCTCATGTACAGCTCTAGCAATTCAGACGTCAAATCCTGGAGTTTGAAAAAGCACCGGCATTCTGTCTCCACTGGTGCAGTACCCCAGAGTGAGTGCTATGTCAGTTTGGCAAATTTCTACTCATCCTTGGAGACTTTGCCCACTGCGTGTCTCTGCCAGGAAGAGGTGCTCCTTCTCAACTGTTTTGTATGTGCATTAAAAAAAATTATTAAAGTTCCCTGGTGGCTCAGTGGTGAGCAATCCACCTGCCAATGCAAGCAGTGTGGGTTTGATCCCTGGGTCAGGGAGATCCTCTGGAGGAGGAAATGGCAACCCACTCCAGTATTCTTGCCTGGAGAATCCCACGGACAGAGGAGTCTGGTGGGTTACAGTCCACGGGTCGCAAAGAGTTTGACATGACTGAGCGACTAAATAACGACAGTTTGACACAACGTTTTACATCAACTCCACATCTCGGTTTCTACCTTAGAAAAACATGCGCAGGGTGTTCATCGTACTGTCGTTTGTAACAGTGAGAAACTGGAGACACCGCCCTCCCCAGGATGAACGCCCAGACAAGGATGCGTGAGAAAGTGAGTGGTCGCACGCTGTGTACAGTGTAACCGTGACGTCACGGCAAACCTGCCCAAAGTGGTGCTAAGTATTTTCTCTGCGGTCATGTGTGTGTAAGTACATAGAAAAATACAGAGGAGTCCGCAGACAGATTCAGTGGTTATTTCCAGGGGTTGGAGGCATTTGGCTTTCACTGTAACATCTTCCTTTTTCACAGGGCAGTGTATTTGCTTTGCTTTGCTTTTTTTTTTAAGGGGGAAAGACTTTCTTTACCATTTACAGCCCACAGAGTTCACCCATTTAAGGTATATAAATAAATGGCTTCTGGCATATTTATAGAGCACAGAACCATCATCACAGTTTCGCTTTATCTTTGTATTTGGCTGCACCTCCGCCTCCCCTGCACCCTCCCGCCCTTGCCTCCCGCACTGCCTCCCTCACCGACCTCCTTGCAGTTTCTCTGACTCACCTCAGGGCCTTTGCATCTGCCTCCCCCAGGTGCTTACAGCCTGCCCCCTCACCTCCAAGTTCCTTGCGGCAAAGTCACCTCCTCTGCCAGGGCTTCGGTGACGTTGCAAACCCTCTGCACCCCTAACAGACTCTCGCCTGCTGTGTCGGTCTGTCTGCCTGTTTGACAGACACTGGCGGCCACGAGGGTAGGGACATGTGCCTGTCTGTCCACCCATCTCAGCTGCCTCCCCACGGCTGTCTCTGGGCATGGTGTGGTGCTTTCTTTGCCTATAGAGGATTTAAAACTTTTAATTTTGATTTTTTTCTATTTTTTTGGCCATACCGAGAAGTATTCAGGATCTTAGTTTCCCAAACAGGGATCAAACCTATGCTTCCTGCCGTGGAAGTGCAGTGTCTTAACCAGGGGACCACCAAGGAAGACACTTTAATTTGTACTTTTAAAAGCAACCATCGCCATTTATTTGCAGGCCTGCCTCAAGGGCTGAGGTTCACAGGGCCAGAGATCCCATATGGCCCCCGTGCCCAACACATGGCCTGGCATTAAGTAGGCACTAGTTACATTGTTTTGTTTGAACACATTTTTGTAGACGTGAACACACTGCTTCAGAAGGAAATCACAGGCATGCCTCGGATTCGAGCACCCTTTCACCCAGGGATGATGGAGTCCGCGAGATTCCAAATGTTGGTTGTTGGTTGGATCCCCTAACTGGACTGTAGAAACTTCTAGGCTGGGAGTCCCACCATCCGAGGGGTTGATGTGCGCCTTTAGAACACTGAGTCTGGAACCTGGCTCTGAACTTCTGAGCCGCGTCTTGCAGACGAATCTGATTCAGTCTCATGTTAGTGCTGAGAGCTGATGACCCCGACGAGACTACCCCTGTTGCTGCAGCTGGCGACTGCTTTTGGGGAGGGAATCCTTTCAACAGTCAGTACTGAAAGCCTGGCCTCTGCCCCCCCGTAGCTCCGCGGGGGCAGGGGAGTATGGGGTGATAATGGGGGGCTGTCAGGCCTGTCTGTCTGTGGGGCTGTGTTACCAGGCGCCTCTGAAATCATTCCGATTGGACCCACCAGGCTTTTGTTTCAGATTCCAAGTGAGCAAACTCGGAAGTCTCCTGGGCTTTTGTCTGGGCTGGGGGATGGGCGTGTGTCTGTGTGCGGGAGAGGCCCTCGGAGAGAAGCGAGGTTTCTGAAGTCAGCTCGGTATTGTTTGAGCCATTCCAAATAGCATGTCGTTCACAGGCTCTTCAAATAGCCCAGAAAAATGCTAAAAAGCAAAAACATCCCCCATCGTGCCAACAAGAGAACAGAGGTCTTCTGATGTGTTCTTTTCAGACGTTTCCCATGCATTTGGGCATGAAAGAACTTCAGGAGTGATGGGATATTCTCTGTCTTCACTGGAGTGGAAGTTATTAATACGTGACTGTTACACATCAATGAAAGCGCTTACAAGGGTGAATTTTACAGGACGTTTCAGTTGTACCTCCTTAAACTTGACTTAAAGAAATGAGTTGGGATGCTGCTGTCGGGATCTTTCTCTGCACATCAGCCATCTTCCCAAGCGACTCTGCCATCATTACCATTCCTGGGCAGCATTCTTCTCGAAGGCTGGTCCACGCGCCCACTTAGGACTGACCCAGGAGGTAGACATCGTGGTGTTTTCTCTCCATTCCAGTAACACTGTCGATGGTTGGCTCTGTCTCCGGGTGACTTATTGGCCAGCTCAGGGGCGTGGATACTTTACAAGCCCTTGACGTCGTCAACCTGTTTATCCGAAAGTGTGTGTTATCCTGCCCAGTCCCCTGGAGCATCTGGGATTGTCTGAGAGCTGTCGTTTTTGGTGTCGAAGCTTTTACATTTTTAAGAGTCTTGGTTGGGGAGTTTAGCTGAATGTTTAGAGATCGTTTTACTTCTATTAAAAATGGGCCCTGGATTTTCCTGGTGGTCCAGTGGTTAAGTTTCTGCCTGCCAATGCAGGAGACACAGGTTGCAACCCTGATCTGGGAGGATCCCACATGTCTCAGAACAACTAAGCTCGCGTGCCACAGCTCCTGAGCGCTGCAACCACTGAAGTCTGCGCTCTGAAGCCTGTGCTCACGACAGGAGAAGCCGCCGCAGTGAGGAGCCGATGCACTACAGCCAGAGAGGAGCCCCCACTCGCCACAACTACAGAAAGCTCCACGCAGCAAGGAAGAAAAAGCACAGCCACAAATAAATAAATAAAAAGAAATGGGCCCGAGGGAACTCCCCAGTGGTCCAGTGGCTAAGACTGGTGCTTCCACTGCCATGGGCCCGGGTGCAATCCGTGGTCAGGGAAATAAGGTCCCACAAACCGTGAGACCAACCTAGACAGCATATTAAAAAGCAGAGACGTTACTTTGCCTACAAAGCCACGGTTTTTCCAGTAGTCATGTATGGATGTGAGAGTTGGATCATAAAGAAAGCTAAGCACCAAAGAATTGATGCTTTTGAACTGTGGTGTTGGAGAAGACTCTTGGGGGGGGTCCCTTGGACTGCAAGGAGATCGAGCCAGTTCATCCTAAAGGAAATCAGTCCTGAATATTCATTGGAAAGACTGACGCTGAAGCTGAAACTCCAATACTTTGGCCACCTGATGCGAAGAGCTGACTCATTGGAAAAGACCCTGATGCTGGGAAAGATTGAAGGCGGGAGGAGAAGGGGACAACAGAGGATGAGATGGCTGGATGGCATCACCGACTTGATGGGCACGAGTTTGAGTAAGCTCCGGGAGTTGATGATGGACAGGGAGGCCTGGCGTGCTGCAGTCGACGGGGTCGCGAAGAGTCAGACACGACTGAGCGACTGAACTGAACTGAACTGAACTGAACTGAGGGATCTTCTCGCCCAGCAGCGGCTGAGGCCGGGAGCCCCGCCCCTAGGAGAGCCCCGCCCCGGGGCCAC